TTTTGATTTCTCTAGAAACCTGAGAACAAGTAACATAATTTCTTTTTATTACTAGAAAAAAAAAACATTAACTAACTACCCAAAGGTAATGCCAGGTCATTAATAAATTATTTATTCAAGTCTCTGAAACAGGATATTGAAATCCATAGACTTTTCCTCGTTTGTTCAATGAAGGTGCAAATAGGTTTTGCCACACACTTAGAGTAAGGAGAAAGATAAAAGTAGTTAAAATTCATGAGGATATACTTAGAAGTCTGGACCTGGAGCCAGGAAGATCTGGGTTCAAATTTTGTCCTGATATTTGCTAGCTCTATGACCATGGTCAAGTCATCTAGCCTTCCTCAGACTCAGTTTCCCCAACTGCTAAATAATAGATATACCATAAACTTCATAGGATTTTGTGAGATTCAAATATTCAGTACTTCTAAAACCATTTTCTCTGCTTTGGGGGGAGACAGTCTCAACCTGTGGTTTCATCAGTGCATAAGAGGACCTTCCCTAAAACTAATAGTCTTAGAGTTTCTGAGGTGCACATAGCAATTCAGTGACTTGCTCAAGGTCACACAGCCAGTATGAGTCAGAGACAAGACTTGAACCTTCCTCTATATAAGTCTGGCTCTCTACTCATAACTCCATGCTGTCTCACTTACTGATCAATTTTCAGAACAACACAAATAAAATATCAAGGGAACACAAAATCACTGCAGCACAATTCCCTAAGCAGCACCTTCCTTGCCGTCACCAGTCCTTATTCTGAGCTTCTCTAGGTTTTCAATTTTAGATTCTCTAACAATTTGTTCCAGCGCCATGAAGGTAGCTGAAGCAGGCGCTGTGGACTGCTTAGAGCTTGGTCAGGCATGAAGGACACCAAAGTCATCCGCTGCAACCTGGACTGTCACCAGTTCTCTTGACTTTTGTCCAGTCACTGGACTTCGATGACTCTGAACCAGAGGGTGAAGCTGATGACTTTGTGCAATTCTGCCTCACTTAAATACAATTTACACGCAAGTCAAAAATCACCCCATGATGTCATTGGCCCTTTCACAGAGGGAGGACAGGGTTCTCCATGGTACTGGGATTCTATAATTCCTAATCCAGGATGCCTAATAGAGTCTTCCAAAGTAAGCCTTCCACCATGGAACGTTAGACTCTTAGAATTTGAGAACTTGGAAAGACTTGAGACTGTTTGGTCCAACCCCACCATTTGGCAGATGTAGACATACAGGCCACATGGTGCGCTGGAAGGAGCTCTAGCTCTGCAGCTAGAATACCCAGGCTCAGTCCCTGACTCTGCCATTTTTTCTCGGTTTGACCAGGAGTGGGTAAGTAGCTAGGCCTCGACTTTATCATTACAGTTGCGATCAACGCATATGTAGTGCTTTGAGGTTTGCAAAGTGCTTTGAGATTTGCAAAGTGCTTTGCATGTATCACCTTATTTGAGCCTCACAACAACCTTATGGGGGTGGGTATAAAAGGTAGTATTAGACCATCCCCATTTTACAAATGAGGTAACTGACACAGAAAAGTTAAGTGACTTGCCCATGGTCACAAAGCTGTCTGACTCAGGTCTTCCTGACTCCAGGCTTGGTACTCTTATTCATTGTACCACCTAGCTACCCTGTTTCCAGCATAATAGTATTTCATTATACATATGTGCCATAATTTATTCAGGCATTTCCCAATTGATGGACACCCCTATAAGTCTGGTGACTGCTAAACATTAAGGACTATTTGTCTCTGGGTTTTCCTGGAAATAAAAACTACCCTCTATCCATCTCTTATGAGTTGATAACACTGAGTTATGATCTTTCTCATTCATGTCTAACTATTGAGTCCTAATCTTTCCTTAACCATCCCCCTCACCTCCTTTCCAGGGAGTGAAACAATGCTAAGTGGCCAAGTTTGATCTTACATATTTGCTCTTCCAAAATAAAAGGAGAATCTTCTGAAAATAAACATTCTTTGGCCACTTTCTGCAAAGCCTGAATCTACCTCCACACATTATCTGCCAGTGTTTCCAAACCATGATGGGGGGGGGAGTGTAGGGGAGGATAGGATAGGAGATGGGAAGGGAGAGTCTGGGGTAATGGAAGGAACACCTGTTTGAAGGCTAAAGGACTAGGAGGCAATGCTCCTTACTACCTGCGTGACCCTGGGCAAGTTATTTAGCTTCTCTTGGCTTGTTTCTTCATCTTCGGTAGGAAAAGAAAACCAAACCAAACCGAGGTGGTTAGAGCAGATGAGCTCTAAGGCCCTTCAAGTTCTAGAGCCTGTCTTCAAAGAAGTTCCAAGGGGCTCGAAAGCTGGTGTGGAAGATGTCCAGATGGTGAAACATCTAACCACAGCAAGGTGGGGTCCTGCCTCCCCCTAAACCTCCCCACATTATCCGCTTTGTCTCTTCATAAGGGGAAGCACAGTATAGGTTGGAGTCAGGTCATGGGAGTTTTTTATTTCCAGTGCGAACATTTACACCTTGGAAACTGGTAAACCATAAATCAGGGCTTGGTTTATTGTTTTGCTGATTCCTAGACTGAAGACAATGAAGGAGAAAAAGTTAATAATGCAGATTAAACTTAAGAGTGTCATGCATGACTTTTTCCCTCTGGAGAGTCAGTTAACATTTATCAGCACACCCCTAGAAGTAGCTTCTATCTGTTGATGTGTTTAGTCATTTCACCACCTTTTTTTTTTTTTTTGAGTCTTTCAGAATTAAGTCACTTGCCCAAGGTCACACAACTAGTAAGTGTCTACCCATATTTGAACTCAGGTCCTCCTAACTCCAGGGCTACTTTGCCACTTAGCTGCCCCATTTCACTTATTTTTTAGCACCCTCTTAATGACCTCCAGGTGTTGGTCTTCTAGGTGTGACTTTCTTAGCACAGTGCCTTGGGCATAAGCACTCAATAAATACTGGTTGCAGTTAACAAGCTTTGCTTTATCTTTGTATCATCAGTACCCAGAATAATGCCTGGTACACGGGAGGTGCTTAATAAATGCTTGTTAAGGACATCAAGCAGGGCCATTGCAATGGCCTATGTGAAATCAATGAGAGGTGGGGGCGCTAGGTGGCACAGTGGGTAGAGCACGGCCCTGGAGTCAGGAGGACCTGAGTTCAAATCCGACCTCAGACACCTGTCACTTAACTAACTAGAAGTGTGAACCTGGGCAAGTCACTTAACCCCGATTGCCTCACCAAAAAGCAAGATAAAATCAAATCAATGAAAGATGGAGCTAGGCTCCTGAGATATGTGGATGGAAAGGGGTAGATAGGTGCAAGAGATTCTGTGAGGTAGAATCAATGAGAGTGGACAGCTGATTGAATAGGTGGCAGGAGGAAGAGGGAGTCGTGGAGGGGAAGATTGTGAACCTTAACTGGAATCTTTGGGTCGTACCTTCACTAGAGAGAAAGTCTGGAAATCCTCTACTCTCCTCGGGGCCCTTTCCTCCTCACCCCCACCCCCAGTCCCCTTCTCCTTAGATCAGCTTTTCTTGATGTGTGTGTATGTGTGTATGTGGGTAGGAGTGTAGTGTGTAGGTGTGTGTGTGTATGTGGGGGACGGGGCTGGACCCCTTTGGCAGGCTGGGGCAGCCAATGGATCTCTCCTTAGAATGTTTTAAAATACATACAATTCATAGGATTATAATGATATGAGTTATAATGAAATACGGTTTTGAAACCATAAAGAAATAAAAACATCCAGATTAAGAGAAATAGTCTTAAAATCTGAAAACCCAAGTTCAGGATTCGTATCTAATCCTGGGCGAGCCCCAATTTATGGAGGGCTGGAGGGTGGGTTAGGAAGGCCCCTTCCAGTTCCGAAGGGATTCTGAAGAGAAGCAAATAAATGCTTCATTTAGTCCCTGCACTACAACGCCTGGTACAGAACGGCCATTTAATAAATGGCTGGTAAAAAGCTTTCTTATGAATTTTAATAAAAACCCACCACCACCAGTGCTACACACACACACACACACACACACACACACACTCTTCTTGGTGAGTAACTTTAAAGCCGCCAGCCTAGTGTTGGAAGTAAGCCTCTTTTCTTCCCCGAGTCTTGTAAGTCAGGGTTCTGATGGTGTCCCACCCGTTCACTTCCCCGAACTGGGCCTCAGTTTCCACATCTTCAGGACCAGGGGCTTAGACTAGCGGTCCCTTCCATCTCTCCGTCTGGGATTCGAAGGGAAAGTCCAGGAAGCTCTCAGCCCCGAGGTCCGGGAGGGATGGCTACCCATCTCGTGGCTACTTCGCCTGCCTCGGTTCCCCCAGGTTGCCAGGCCGCCCACCCCAGGCAGCTGAGGTTTCGGAAATCTCGCTCTTTTCCGGTAGCCAAGCAGTCTCCGGTGAAACAAAGTTGCTCGCGTGCACGACCCGCGAAGGGCTTTCTGTTTCTTCATCTCTGTCCCCTCTCTCGCAGTTTCTGTCTTTCTGGCGCCTGTCTCTGTGTCAGTTTCTCTGTGTCTCTCTCTGGGTATGTCTGTGTCTCTCAATCTGCCTAAGTCTCTTTCTGTCTCGTCTTTCTGTGTGTCTCCGTCTCTCTCCCTCCTGCCTCCCCCTCCCCCACCCTTGTACCACTCCCTCATGCCAGCTCTGCTCAGCACCCCTTGCAGGGGATCTCGAGGCACCCCAGAGGGCTCGGGACTAAACCCCTCCCCCTCGCAGGGCGGCCACACCCAAACCTCCAGGGAACTGTCCGGGGGTCGCAGCCCTACTTCTTGCTACCTATGGGCGGTCGCGGACGTTTCCCCCGCGCCCTTGCCTCTGGCGGGGCCGGGCTCCGGGCACTCCCTCCCAGTCCCGCCCCTCGCTGCTCACTTGTTCTCCCAGTGGAATAAAAGCCCCCACCCCCGGGCAGGGGCCGGCCTGGGGTAGGGGTGGGTCCGGGGCGGGGTCCAGCGCTCAGGGGCGGGTCGCGGGCGGGCCCACCACACGGGGGCCGGGCCTGGGCTCTGGGGCGGCTCTTTGCTCCCGCCGTCGTCTCCACCTCCGCCTGGGCTGCAGTCCGGGACCGGGCCACCCACCCGGCAGACGGGCTCGCCGGGGCTCTGGGCTTTGAAGCCTCTTGGAGGGTAGGTGCGATCGCTCCTGCGAAGGGCTTCTGAAGGGGGAGGGGGCGGAGGGGTGGTCGCCCCTTTAGGGAGTGAGTGGGACTCCTGCTCGGGAGAGTTTCCCCGGGAAGTGTGAGGTCCTCTCCGGGGGTGGCTCCCTGGAGCCTCGGAGCCCCCTCCCCCTCCCAAAGAGCAAGGATGGGGGCGAGGCTGGGGGGGAGGGAGGAGGGGGGCTGCGGAGCTGCTTCTCAGCTCGCCCCCCTGCCCCCGGCTCCCGTGCGGCCGCTGTTCCCCTTTTGCCTCCCGGGGATGGCGGTAAAGTGAAGCAGCCCTCCCTGCCCTTGCCCTCCCCCACGGATGAAGGGGGTGGGGGCAGGGGGCGCTGGTCCGCTGCCCTCGTGTGATGGCTGACTTCTGCCTTCTTTTTAGCAGACGAAAGCCGGGGGCCCGGCTGCTGTGTCCCCCTCCCGGGCCCAGTGTCCCCGCTCCTTCGGGGCTCCCACTAGGGTCCGCGATGGACCGCGGCGGCGAGAGCGAAGTGGACTTTTCGAGTCACAACATTACCCCTTTGTGGAGGAGGCGATCCACCCCGCAGCCCCAGCGCCTAGTCCGGAGCAAGCCCAGACCCCAGTCCTATCAGAGCCCCACGGGGCTGCTGATCACGGATTTCCCTGTGGAGGACAGAGGGGTGTTCACGAGCAAGGAGCCTTGCCACAGTGGGAGCATTTCTTCGGCTTCACCTTCTCCATCTCCGTCGCCAGACCGCAGGATGCCCCAAAGGAGCCCTCTGCCGTGGTGCCCTAACAGAGGGCCTGTGGCCAATGGGAAGGCTCTCCCTCTGGATTTTAGAGCTATCTCCCAGAGGCTGCCGGCCGAAAAGTCACCCCGGGGCCATAGGATGGTGGCCAACCCTTCTGTCAGCTACCCGGGTACAGTCGCATCCCCAGAGACTCAAGTAGGGCACCCCCTTAGGATTTGCAATGCTTCTATCCCAAGCAGCCCGGCCCAAGAACTGGTGGGATTGAACGTCAGTACAGGGTCTTCACTCAGCGCATCTGTGCCTTCTCTTAACAACAATTCTACTGCTCCCCTACAATCACCACCCGGCCAGACTGCCAGGGACCCGGAATGGGCGCCTTTGAAACTCTCACCCTGCCCACAAAGGACTCCCCCTGAGCAAAAACTGTCTCTCCAGCGGCTGCCTTCCAACTCAGAAAAGCCTGTGGTCATCCTGAGTACCAACAGCCCAGCTGCCCTCAAAGTAGGGAAGCAACAAATTATCCCGAAGGGCTTGGCTTCTGAGATTAAAGTCAGCAAATCCAGCAGTCAAAACTCGGAGCCCCATAAGAGGGTCCTAAAGGTCCGAAGCATGGTGGACCCCATTAGTGCCCCACTGATCCCTGCAAGTGATGGGGAAGGAGAAGCTGAAAGTGACCTAGACAGTCCTGGGTCCCTGAGGAGAGGCTTGAGATCCACTTCCTACCGCAGGGCTGTCTTCAGTGGTTTTGATTTTGACAGTCCCATCAACTCCAAGAAGAAAAACAGAATGTCCCAGCCAAGTCTTAAAGCGGTCATGGAAGACAAAGAAAAGATCTCTAGTTTAGGAAGGATTAAGGTAAGTAAATTATGAGGAAGTGGGCACATACCCAAAGTGCATGTATGTGTGTGTGTGTGTGTGTGTGTGTGTGTGTGTGTGTGTGTCTGTTGGGGGGGATAAAATACTATTATCTTTTCTTGTTCAACAGATGATTCTCTCTTTGGGGCCTAATTCAGAGGGCCTGCTTCTGTTCCATTGCACCCTGTGCCCTGCCACCTCTCCCCACTCCCAACCATACAGCTTTCTGACCATTTCAGGCCTGACTGGCACCACCAGAGGAGATCGCACAGGCAACTTGTCAATGAAAAACTTCAGGTAGAATGTTGGCAGCAGAAAATGAGGAACTGTCTAGTTCAGTTTGTTAGGTCATCTGCAGAGTTGGGTTCTCCCACCTGTCAGTGTGGGATTTCTAAAGCAAAAGCTTACCCATATCACCCTTCCCCCAATCAATTCTAGTGGCCCCTTGTTACCTTTAGGAGCAAATACAAACGCCTCTCTTTGGCATTTCAAACCATTCCCAGGCTGACTCCAGCCCACCTCCAGACTGGTCTTCTTGAGGTTCCTTGCACGTGCCATTGCTATCTCTGTCTTTACCTGCCACAGTCCCTGGACTACACTCTGGCCTCCCTTCTGTCCTTAGAATCCCCGAGTTTCCTTCAGAGCTCAGCTCTGACACATGCTACCCAAGGCTTTTCCTGATTACCCTCCCCCAATTACCTTATATTCATTTATTATATATTCATGTGTCTATGTTTTCTTTTTCCTTCCTCTCCTCTATTTTGATATCCCTAGGACAGTAAGTAGGACTTAGTTGCTGCTTAAAAGCTTGTCAGACATTGTGTTAGGGATCTCCAGGCACACGGGAATGCAGAAACAAACATGCCCTCCTCTCAAAGTGCTTCCATTCTAATAGGGAAACAGCTTGTGTACACACACACACACACACACACACACAGAGTTATATAGTTATCTATACATAATTATATATATGTATGTATATATATATATATGTAGTTATAGTTATATACATGATACCTACAAAATTGTTTCTTTTAGAGGGGAAGGCACCCACCACTGGAGGGGCCAGGAAAGACCTCCTGCAGAAAAGTTGGGTTTTAGTGGAGTCTTGAAGAAAGCTAAGAGAGAAAGGGGTGGGATGAATTCAAAGATGAGGTTTGGCAAGGTGTGAATGGCTATTGGCCAAGGAGAAGCAGTGTCTTGGGGAAGGAGGGGGGGCTAGGTGTGCCAGAAGAAGGAAGGAATGTGAAAGAATGAAATTCAAAATGCAAGAACATTGGTTAATTAGGAGCAGGAATTCCAGACGATACACTGCCTGAAATACATAGTCCTCACCTCTGCCTCTTAGAATCCCTAGGCTCCTTCCAAGCTCAGTTCAGTTCAAACAGCATTTTCTACAAAAGGTATTTCCAGATCACCCCTTCCTGCTGCCTCCACTCCTCATCCCACAAAGTTAATGTCTATTTCTTTTCTATGTGCCTACTTACATATAAGCAATCTTTTCCTATAGAATATAAGTTCCTTGAGGGCAGGCGCTGTTTCATTTTTCATTTTGTTTGCTCAGTGCGAGGCATCTAGTAACAGCTTCATACATCTTTGCTATTTCACTGATCAGAGCCATTTGCCCCTGGCCATTGGAAAGTTGAGTGTGTGTGCCCGTGTGCAAAGCAACTAAGTTTTCCTGACTTGGTACTATTGACCAAGTAGTATTTACAGCCCCACTCTAGTGAAATGTTAATTCAAGTGTGTAGTGACTTCATTCTGCCTGCTTTCCAGTGTCTTTTTAATTATTGAATTGTGTAATTATTATTCAGAAATTATTCACTGCATTCCCCCCAAGTAAAATGTAAAGACAGGTTGTTTCTCCAGGATCCCAAATGCTTTGACTGTGACCGCTGTCATGTTTGTTGTATTTTCTTTGACTTTTCTTTGTATTTCCTCTCATCTCTGACACTCATCTGTGTGACCATAGGAAGGCATTTAACTCAGATCCTCAATTTTCCTCATCTATAAAATAGGAATAATAAAACCTGTAATGCCTTCCCTGGGTTGTTATGAGAACCAAGTGAGATAAGGGAGGTAAAGTGCTGCACAAGATTTAAAGTCCATGTAAATGTCAGCCATTTATTTAAATGTCAGTAAATGTAGCTATGACTGCTACCTCGGTGGAAGGAAGGAAGGAAGGAAGGAAGAGAGGGAGGGATTGGTAAAGGAAGGGAGAAAGGAAGGGAAAAAAGGAGGGAAGGGAGAGAGGGAGGAAGGAATGGAGGGAAGGAGCAAGGAAGGGAAGAAGGAAGAGGAGGAGAGGAAGGAAGGGAGGGAAGAGAGTGAGGGAAGAAAGAGGAAAGGGAGGAAGAGAAGAAAAGGAAGGGAAGGAGGGGAGGGAAGGAAGGAAGAGAAGAAAGGAGAGAAAGGAAGGAAAAGGGAAAGAAGGGAGAAGGACAAATTAGATGTGTGAGTGAATCCACTTTTTCTAGAAACGAGACAATTTCTCCAGTGGGTCAGAAACTTATTTTAACTTGTATCCAGCTAACATTTTTGGCAGCCACATCTCTTCTTGATTAATCGGTGAACTGTAACTCGTCTATATAAATGTCATGTATTTAGTGCAATGAGAATCTGTTTTATTTTAGAGGGTTATGGTCTTGCAGAAAGGAGCTTACATAATATATTTTGTGTTTTAAAAACAGCTTTTTTCACTCTGATAGTAGCAGAAAGTTTAGTGCCTCGGTCATGTTGTGAGGTTGCTAGATGGGAAGTGCCCTTAGGTGGGAGTCCTTGCTACGGTGTAGGGTGGGCCTTCGCCCTCACTGTTTTTAGGGCATCTTCTACATGCATGGCCTACACTTAGTAGAGATAATATGTTCAGAATTTTTTAAAGATATGAAACAGTTTGTAGATTTTGAAAAATTGTGCTCAGTCACACTGGCTCATATGTGGTTTGCTCTCTTTCTTTCTGCTTTTCATATTTCATAGAAGAAAATGCTGAAAGGCCAAGGAACGTTTGATGGGGAAGGTAAGCATTCAGTTTTCTAGACAGTCCAATTTCTTTTTTGTTGTTTCAATATGAAAACAAAATTATGAGAATGTAAGAAAAATGACAGAATATAAGCACCTTTAGGCAAGGATTTCAACCAAAGAAACAAACAAAATGGATTTTAAAAAGTGCCCAAAGTTTCTCCCATCTTACTATATTATGTATTTCAAAGTTCTGAGTTAAACTATTATTTAATAATACAAGCCACAAGTAAAGTTTCTGAAGAAACAATATGATGCCATGGGATGGAACACTGGATTGGATCTAGGGGATCCAGGTTCAACAATCTAGCTCTGATCTTTATTCTTTCTGTGACCTTGGACAAGTCACTTCCCCTCCATGAGCCTCTGTTTCTTCATTTAAAAAAATGATATTACCCCTAAGGGTTCTTTGGCTCAGTCTAAATGACCATAAGATTTCATCTGTGCTTCATTTCTGCTCATAGGAGAATATTTATTCTACCAAAAATGAAGAGATTTTCTTATTACATCTATCTTTTCAGTATGAAAAAAAAAATGTTCTCGAAACTTTTTTTCACAGATGTTCATTGGCTTTTCCACAGACGCGATTTTTCCCCATTGCAATATCATCCCTCATTTTAGACTCTGTGATTTGGGAAATGGAATCCTCTATGAGGCAATGAATCCTTTTTCCTCAGTTTGGGGATCTGACACCATTTCTGTGACCTTCACCTGCTGAACTAGGGGCAGCCTTGCCAGGTGCTCAACCCTAATCAAATTAGTGAACTTTGTGCTTAAATGTCTGACCACGAATCTGGTGCTTAAAAAAAAAAAAGAAAAGAAAAGAAAGAATTACTGTGATAGTAGCAGCTTCTTCCCCAGAGGAGAGGTCGGTGTCAGCCTGAGGAACATGTACCTGGTGTTCATTTTCTTTTTAAATCAGATTTGTGATTTCAGAGGATGATCAGTGGGGGAACTCTACTCATGGAGATTGGCATGTGCTCTGGGATTTATAAGCTTAGACGTCTTCATGGCAGCACTGGGAGGTTAAGTGATTTTCTCATTTTAAAAATATTATAAGAAAGTGGGAGAAGACTCAGAGACCCTCCAGTCCTATCCCCTTGTTTTCACAGATGGGGAAACTGAGGCCCAGGGAGCTTTCGTAACTGACTCAGCATATCATGGAGCTAGAGATGGAGGGGAATTCAGAGACCATCTAATCCCTCCCCAGCATTTCACAAGAAAAGAAAATGAGGCCCAGGGCTAGTGAGTGGTTTGCCCAAGGCTACACAGGGTATCAGTGATGGGTTTGAGCCCAGGTCATCTCACTTCCAGAAGCTGTTCTTTCCATTGAACGTGGGGATATCCTCATCTAAACATACTTGGCATATGAAATCCAAATGGATAAGACAGATGTAAAAGAGGTGATGATTGGTTTTACCAAAAGTTTCTGTCCAAGGTTACTTTAAATGACACATTTTGGTGTTGAATTTAGCCCTTGCTTTAGTTTTTGAAAACTGAATTTTTGTGCTGAGGTTGGTGCCTTATCTCATCGGATCATATGTATGGCCTTAATGACCATCTTGCCTTCCATCCTCTCCTGAACCTGCCTCAGAGTTCTCAGAGACATCTGCCATGTTTATGCAGATATTACTTAGCTGGAAGGGCAGGGTGAGAGATTTTTCCATCCCAAGACCTCTCATAGACTTTCAACTAAATACAGAGCTGGTGATGCAGTGGATAGAGTGTTGGATCTGGAGTCAAGGAAGGCCAGAGATTAGCTGTGTGTCTGGTCCCTTAACCTCTTTCTACTTGAGTTTCCTCAACTGTAAAGAGAGATCTCCCAGGGTTGCTATGAAGATAAAATGAGATCATATTTGTAAAGCACTTTGCAAACCTTAAAACCCTATAGAAATGCTAATTGTTATTATTATTATTATTACTATTATCATCTGAGTCAAAGAAGAGTTATGATCCATGGTTGGAGAATAAGCTCTTATGGAACCATGAGTCCTTGAAGTATTGACATTTGCATAGCTCATGTTTAGGAGACATTTTGAAGTTTACCAGATGTATTAGTCACAGGTAGGTAGTTTTAAAAATCTCATTTGACAGATAAAGAAACTGAGGCCCAGAGGGCTCAGTGCCTTGCCCCAGGGTATACAACTTGGGAGGACTGGAGTCTGAATTTCGAGCCTGCTTTTCTCACTGCCAGGCTGGGGTTCTTTCCATTGCCTCATGGGGCTTTTATGAAGGTGATTTGTGTCTTCAATGGATTTTACAGAACCTTAGCCCTGGAAGGAAGCTCGGAAGTCAGCTCCTCCAACTCTCCTGTTTTCTGGGTGAGGGTAACTGCCCCAAGAACCTTAGTGACGTGGCCCAGATCTGCTTGTGTTAGAGGCAGGGCCAGCATGAGAGAGTCTAGTCTCCTGATTTCTAGGATGCTTCCCACCACCCCTTAGTTCCAGCACTCGGCAAACCTCCTAGAAACTCTCCCTCAAAGGTTGGAAAGCCTTTGGTTTTTTTAAAGGAATGGAATCCTGGCCTTTGGCACAGTATGCAACCTAGCTCGCTTTCAAAGAGCTGCTTCTGGGTGTCTGTCCATTCCCATCTCCTATCATTCCTGATAATCTTTTGGCTTCTGTTTCATCCCCATCCTTCCAGGACATCCTGGAGGTTTTATGTGGGAGAGCCAAGAGAAAAATGGGGATAAGGACTCTCGCTCTAAAAATCTCCCAAGGTTTGTGGGGAAACCCCATTTGCCAACTTTAATGCAATATATAAATATGAGTTATAACTCTGGTATGTAGTCTTGGCCTTGACCCAAACCTGGTCAATAGAAACAGAAGGATTTCTCCTTTATATGAAGTAGAAAAGGAGATATTTTGAATGCTCAAACTTCTCCAGTTTCCAAGTATTTTACATTCCATGATTAATCCCAATTCAAAGCTAATGAATATATTCATCATCTACTCTGTGCCCAGCACATAAATCCCTGCTCCCCAGGCAGGAGGAGATGACACCTGGATGTGAATTTCATTGATGATCTACACCCAATGTGAGCAACCTTCCTCCACCTATGTAGGCAGCACTTTCTCTGCCATGGATGTTCTTAAAGAGCTGCCTGAGATCCACAGAGATTTACTTAGGGATTAAGTGACCTGCCCAGGATCATATAGACAGCAGCTATCTGAACGGGGACTCAAACCTACATCCCCCTGGCTTTGAGGCCAGATTTCTATTTAGTTGATATACCTTAGACACCAGTGGACCATGTCATCTGCTCATTCGTTCCCCACCCCCTTCCCCACCTCACTAAGAAATTTTCAGTGGCTAGAATTCAATACAAAACTCTTGGCCTGACAGTTGAGTCCCCCTTCCCACCCACCACCATCTGACTTCCAAGTCTCATTTCTTTGTATTTTCCATCCTGTGCCCTCTGTTCCAGTTGATTTTGTTAGCTACCTCTTTCCCACCCATGTGGCTTTAGTGGTGGAATGCACACTCTCCTCACCTCTGCCTCATGGAATCAAAGTAAAGCTCGGGGGTCACCTCCTATGGGAAGCCTTCCCTGATTTTCTTTCCTTGTCCCCCAATTGTTAATGTCTTGTCCCCTTGAAGTTACTTTGTATATGGTTTAGACTTATTGGTTTGCGTACATGAATTCTTCACTGGCTATTTGCTTCCATTTCTTTGAATCTCTAGTTGTAGAATGCCTGTATATAACAGGCGCTTAATAAATGTCAAGTGGAATCCAATTGGGCTATTAAGATGTAAAATATCATGGAAGAAAGAGCCAAGTTGTGTGATATAAAACATTGGGCACATAGAAAAATTCTGCACAGGAGAAATCAATGTGTAATAATAGTTGGGAAAGAGTGTAAAAGATATGAAAATCAATTTACATAAAAACAGATGTTTTATGGAACTGACTGTTCTCATGGGGGAAGAAAAGGAAATTAAACAATTTGTTTTAGCAAGGATAAAAGTGCTTAATCAATGAAATCCAATGCTGCACTGGGTTAAAAACAGTCTCTTTTTTTCTTCTAAGTTAGATAGCAAAACATCAATTCAGATAAAAAAGGAGATTTTACATACCATTCAAATGCCATGTCAACATCCATTTGTCTCTTATTTACAAAGGATATACATTCCTTTGAGACTTGGCATTGCTTAAAAGAATGAATGAAAAGAAAATTAACTTGACCTTATGTTTCAGTAAGAGCAGCATAGTAGCGTTCAGGAATCAGGAGGTGATGTTCTCCAGCCCTCTGCCCTGCTCAGACCACTTCCAAAGTATCATGTCCAGTTCCTGCCCCATCTTCAGAAAGATGTTGATGAACTAGAGAGTGCAATCAGAGCAGCAAGGATCCAGTCCATGACAAGTGAAGAACAATTCAGGCACTGGCAATAGTTAGTAAGGAGAAGAGAAGAGAAGGTAACCTGCCTTCAGGTGTTTGAAGGACTGTTGCCTGGAAGGGGAAATGGACGTAGCCAGATTAGACCTAGAGGCCAGAACTTGGAGTGAGCGTGGAAGGTGTAAAAAGTCCATTTTAAACTTAATGTAAGGAGACACTCCCTAACAATGAATGGTTTCCTAAAGTGAAGTGGACTGCCTTGAAAGAGAGTGAGGTTGCCCTCCTTGGGAGTGTCAAGTGAAAAGTGTGTGAGTATCTGTTGGGTAGGTCAGCTATTCTTGGTCAAAGATGAGTTGGACCAGACAACCTCTGAGAACTTTCCAGCTCTCAATCCTGCAGTTCTGGGAACCAGGAAAATGTGGCTAGAGCTCCTTTGGAAACAAATAGGAAAGGGGACTAGCCCGGTCATTTCCATGATGTGAGGAAACTCCCTCCCCCAGTGCAAATTGACACATTCCCTGCAATTTATAGTTTTAGAGAGTTGTCTAGAACATTGAGAGGTTAAATCACATGGCCAGGGTCACCCTCCAGTATGTGCCAGGGGGGACGAACTGAACCCAGGTCCTCCTGGCTTCTACTATACCATGCTGCCTCTAATTGGAAAAAAGCATACACTTTGGGAGCAATTAATTACACGTTTATGGCTTGTTCTTATTGTAGAAAATGCTGTGTTGTATCAGAACTACAAAGAAAAAGCTCTTGATATTGACTCTGATGAAGATTCAGAGCCTAAAGAGCAAAAACCAGATGAAAAAATCGTAATTCACTACAAGCCGCTGAGGTCCATGTGGAGCCAGCTTTCTGCGGTGAGTATCTATCTGTTTTGTCTCTCTTCAAGGAAGAAAAGTAAAATGTGGGAATTGTGTGTGTGTGTGTGTGTGTGTGTGTGTGTGTGTGTGATTATGTGTGTGTGTGTGTGTGTGTGTGTGTATGTCTCTTTGATTTGTTAACAAGCCAGTGACCTTAAGGATAAATAACCTGCTTTTCACAGTAGGAAATATTTCTTAAGAGTCTGTGGGCAGTGAGCTGAACTTTTATTCTGGGAATTTGTAACTTTCTGATGAAAGTATTAAGATTTGATAGAGTAAGTGTCTTCAGACAGATGGATCCATAGCACTTCTCATGTGGTGAATGCATACTGTGTGTGTAGCTGTATTTAGGATATAAATGTATACTTGCCCTAAATACAACTGTTCTGTGCTATTTGTTTAAGGTCTAAAACATTCTCCATTGAAAGATGTACTCTGTAATGGGTGAGCACTTTTAGGAAAAGAACAGCATTGTGAACATCTGAGAAGTGCAGGTGGGACTGAGGGTCTTTCCTGTTACAAAAGAAGACCTGATGTTCCTTAACAGTCAAGAGGAGGGAATCACAAATACTCAGGGAACCTATTAGGATGCTGAGGTATAAGAATAATAACAATATGAGGAGGAGGAAGACGGGAAGGAAAATGATGATGATGATGTATACTATGTGCCAGGCACTGTGCTAAGCGCTTTACAGGTCTTATTTGATCCTCAGAAATCAGGGATTTCTCAGCCTCACAGACAGAGTCTTAGAAATATGTATATGTATATATACATACATACATACATATATATATGTATCTGTGTATATATATAATATGTATCTACATATGTATATGTGTATGCATATTATATTGAGGGGGACAATTAAAAAGAACAAATCCCCACAGTTTGGTCGCCATCTTCCTATTTTGATGATGAGCAGAGATCCTGAGATCTGTTGACCATGGGATAAGATTGTCAGGAAAGGGGAAGGGCCAAGTCCCCTGTGGTTAGCTGAGGGTGATGTTCGGGGTAAGAGTTTATGTAGACATAAACTTTAAAAGGCAGAGATGCTAAGATTATAACTTTTGCACAAAGGGCCAGATTTTCTTTATTTGCAAATTCTCTGGGATTTCTTTAGAGAAAAGAGAGATGTAGATATATGCAGATGTGTGTGTGTGTGTGTGTGTGTGTGTGTGTGTAATGGAGAGTGTGTGTCTATGAAGTATTGGAGCAGGGCATAGATATGTGTACACATACACATGCATGCACATATACATATATACACATGTATGTATATACATATGTACATGTCTCCTGCTCTAATACTTCTTTGTTGAGTTGATTGAGTGCAGGTGGTCCTGGGCTCCCAAACATCATCCTGGTGATGTACAAATTCTGTCTGATCCTACCAGGGTGAAAGGGCCTTGAAAGTGAGTCCAGTTACAGGCTGTTTATTTCCCCTCTCAGAAACCACCTTACCAAGTCCTGAGAGGCTCATTCCCTCTTTGTGTGTGATACAAAACCCAGCACCTTTCTTAGGAGTTTAGAGAAACAAAATCTAATGATTTTAGTTTCAATTCGATGTAGAAACCAAAGGCGGAAGGAGTGCTGTTGTGATGAATTGTTATTAAAGCAAACAAGCCCTCTGCTGTTCTGCCTGAGTTTGTGCCTTGGTCCCTCTTCTCCCATAGGGCTGGAACCCTGTTTGTGGGCAGAAGCCCAAGGAAAGCTCTGGGATTTGGGGCATCCTTCAGCCCAGTCCTATGTCATTGGGTTTTTGATACCTGCCTGCATTAGGAGTCAAAGTGGTCTGGGGGATCATCATCTGGGCTGGTGTGTGAGCATGGTTTGGAAAAGCCCATTGCTGGAGGGAAGTCGGAATGAGGAGTTCCCTAGCCATGAGGTGATCATAAATTGACTATCTATCTGGATGTCCTACTAAAAGACTCTGTGTGTGTGTGTGTGTGTGTGTGTTTGTGTGTGTGTGTGTGTTTGTGTGTGTGTGTGTGTGTGTTTGTGTGTGTGGTATATAAGAGGTGTATGTAAGTGTCAAGTTATTTATGAGTGTGTGTGTATGATTATGTTGTGAGTGTGTGTGTGTGTGGTATGTAAGAGGTGTATGTAAGTGTGAAGTTATTTATGAGTGTGTGTATGATGGTGTTGTTTGTGAGTGTGTGTAGGTGTATGTATGTATAGGAATATGTGAGTATGTATATATGTGTGTGAATGTATATGTGAGTATGTCTGATATGTATATATGAATATGTGTGTGAGTGTGTGTGTGGTATGTAAGAGGTGTATGTGAGTGTGTGAAGTTGTGTATGAATGTGTGAGTGTGTGTGTGTGTGTGTGTGTGTGTGTGTGTGTACTATATGCTTAATTTTCATATTTCCCAAGGACATTTTATCATTGCTTTGCTAATCTGTGCCCTCTCTTAAATTGATAGGACTTGTTTTATCAGTAGATTACTAGAAGCCGGAGGAGCTTTTCAAGAGGAGTAATTTGAAGTAGTTTATAGCTATTATACAATGTAAGATGTTTAAATATTCTGCACGGAGTCTCCTTTGTCCGAGCTTGTTTCCTCGTTACCCTCTCCCTCTAGTTTCCTTGAGCTGTGGAAGCCGACTGTGGACTTTGGCAGAGCAGGGGGAGGGGCTGAGGCGATCTTCGGGCATTTTGTGTGGGTAGGTTTGCTTTTCACCAAAAGGTTTTGTGTTCCTTACTCAGGGACCATTATTTAAGACTGTTGACCCTCTTCCATCCTTCATGCCCAGGCAAGCAGTGGTTCAGTGGAAATTGTGTGAGATTTGGATATAGCTGATCTCAGATCTGGATTTAAATCCTAGGTTTACCGCTAACTACTTATATAACTTCGGGAAAGTCGTTTAATCTCTCTGTGTCTCAGTTTATTCATCTGTAAAATGAAAAGTTGGGTTAAATTCTTTGAGCTCTTTCCCACTCAAAATCAATGATCCTAAAACAAGCTATCAATTAGGAAACCAAACTCCTGAGCCTTCAATCTCATTTATAAAGCTACATAGCTCACCTAGGGATAGCTTCAGGAAAATCTAAGAATGGGAAAGAAAGAAGATTTGACAATGGGGAAATCTATTGTAAGTATACTTATATTAAAAAAAAATGAGTTTCAGTATATAGTAGGTAAGTCTTAACAATTGAATTTAAGATGACTAAAACTTGTTAATTATATCTTATTAAAAATATTGTCTATATATTCCAATGTATCCCTCCATGTTCTCCCTTCAGAAAATTATCCCTTGTATCAAAGAACAAAAAAGATGAGGGAGAACCAATACATTAAAATTGTTTGACGTTATTTGCAGTATTCCACACCCAGTCCCCCAGCTCTATAAAGAAGTGGGGTCAGGTGCCTTTCATATCTCGTCTTTGGCACTAAACTTACAGCATTTGGCTTCATTTGTTTTGCTGTCTTTCTTTCTATTTACCTTGGTGTAGTCATTGTGTATATTGCCTTCCTGGTTCTTTTTCACTTTGAATCAGTTTCCCTAAGTCTTCCCGTACTTCTCAGTTTTCATGATACTCATCATTTCTTACCTCACAGTACATTGCATTAGGATCATGTGGCATATTTTGTTTAGCTATCCAGTCAGTCAGCTAGCATTTATTACGCACTGTGCCAGACACTGCAAAGATCTGGGGATACAAAAAAAGCCCCCTCAAAAGTCCCTGCTCTCAAAGAGCTTATAGTCTAACGGGGGTGTGTGTGTGACATGAGAACAACTTTGTACAAATGAGATACAGGCTGGATAAAATGGGGACAGTTTCAGTGGGATGACTGGGGAAGGCCTCTTGCAGAAGGTGGGACTTTAGCTGAGACTAGAAGGAAGCCAAGGAAGGCAAGAGTGGGGATGAGAAGGGAAGGCATCCCAGGCATGGGGAACAGCCAGTGAAAATGCTTGGAGTTGGGAGATGGGTTGTCTTGTGCAAATAATAGTGAGGAAGAGCCAGTGGAACTGGATTGCAGGTGCCCCATGGAGAAGAGTAGTAAGGCATAAGAAGACTGGATGGGTAGGAGTGGACCAGGTTCTGAAAAGCTTTAAAAGACAAACAGAATTTTATATTTGATCCTGGAAGTAATAGGGAGCCACTGGTATTTACTAACTAGGGAGAGTGACTTGTTATCCACTTTTTACTTTTACTTTGTTGCCTCCGCAAGACGTGCTATATACATATTTTTTGTGTTTATGGGTCCTTTCTTTTTGTCATTGACTTTCTTGGCTGGGGGAGGGATATCTAGCAGTCCCAATCCCTAGTTCAAAGGTTAGGGATGTGAGGAGAAGCTTCAGTACAGGGCTTGAGAGCTTGTGTGTCGTAATTCAAGTGAGGAAAGAGCTTTCTACCAGAAGCTAGAGAGGTGAACCTAAGACCAGGAGAGTGGGATCTAATATTCTTAGGTTCCAGATGCACCACAGCAAAGTTTCACCAGAACTGCACAGTAGGTAAAATATTCCTTGGAATACTTGGAAATAGAGCCAGAGATGACTCTAAAAAGCCTGATTTCCATATAAGCATTGTTGACTTGAATAATAAAAATAATAAGATAAAAATAAAATAAAATTAATAATAATATAATCACCCATAAGGTAAAGACTTAGTAAAAATGTTTAAATGAATGATTGTATCTCTGGATCCCCAACATATTCACAGGGCTGGTTGTGTATGTGTAAGTTATATCGTAGAAGACACTGTAGGTCGGGGAGTTACTCTGGAGAAGGGAAAGGGAAAGACCATGATCAAGATCCCACCAGGATTTATGGATGATGGCAGCAAAAAACTGCCCAGTGATTTCAAAACAAAACAAAGTTTTCTGTTTGGAGACTGAGTGAGGCTTGCATTTTTTCCGTAACTATTTACCTAGATAAGACCTCAAGATGTGTTCCTTCTCTCTTTAAACATTTCTTGAAAGTCCTCTGTCCACAGTGAGGGCTTAATAAATGCCACTGAGTGACAAGCCAGGGAACCTAGTCATTGTAGC